AGGTTTGATAGGGGACACCAGTTTCAAACCGGAGCTCTTGTGGATTTGGGGAATTCTCTATGCACAAAAAGGCAAATAAATAATGAAGAAATAAAGATGAAGCTTACAGGAGATTCAGAATCGCTGGTTAATCCAGGAATCACCAGCACGATAGGGGTGGTGTCATCTTTAGGAATAGCATTGTTTGTGCTAAAAGCATCTCCCAGAACTGTAATACAAGCATACACATGGATCAGAATAGAAAAACCATTTATAACTACTATTACCATGAAATCAACTGAGTGTCATAGCACTTCATACAAAAGCATGATAAATACAAACTAAGTAAAGACACCGTCACCGGCACACATTTTATGATTATGAAAAATCTCTTTGTAACCAATGAAAAAATGGTCTTTATTTTATGATAAGAACCAAAATAATATTTTCGGTGGGTTTGGGTATATAGGGTTTTAGAAGATCCAGGGGTTCGAATCAAGGAATATATATCAGAAACATAAAATTAAAATGATAAAGTATAATTTGGTTCTAACTACATTACACACCCTTGAAGCTTGGGTGATTTTCAAAAATGTGTCATTAAATTTCAATTTTCTTATTTAACACCATAAAGCATCAAAATATGCATTTGGTTGGATTGATTGCTTGATCCTTCATTAAATTGATGACATAGTGAGTGTGAGATAACTATATGGGCTAACGTTTAAGCCACATTTGCACCACATTGACAAAAAACTCATCAATTTAATAGAGGGTTAGATATTCAAAGAGCAAAAGGTGTAAATTGATACAATTTCAAAACTTAGGGTGCAACGCAAGAATATTAGAACCACAGTCCATTTTGAAAATCACCCTCAAACCTGAAGGGTGTAAAATGTAGTTAACCCCTTGCTTTGCGTTCATAAATGTCTATAAAAGGATATATGTATATGGTCATTAATTTCAGGTAAATCAAATAATAGTTACCATCAGAGTTCCTCAGCCAATCCAAAGCAATGGTGCCACCATCAGATAGATGAAAATTTTCTCTGAGAGGGAATATACATGGCTATCTGTTACTCAAAAGCATGAATCAAAATACAAGAGGAAGAATAGTCATTGTGACATTTTATTATCTGTATTTTAAATAAACATTAGCAAACCTATGCAAGAAATCAAGTTCATGGAAAAAAGATGTAAAGTATCAGAGACCCCAGTCAACCTTTCAACATGAGACAGAAAAACTTTAAGGATCAAAAGAGAACAATACAGTACAAAGTTACATTTCTCATTTTGAAAGCAGTAAATTAGTAAATTAACAAGACAACTGATTCATTTCCCCAAATAGACACATCTCATGTATCCTTACGGCTATAAATCACAGTGTGGTCACTTTATATCTATCCTTCGGTGTCAAACAGGACTAAAACCACCTTATATAAAGTTAAAGTCAGATTCCGGGAAGCTCGTTAAGCTTCAGTTACACCAGGGCTTAGAGACCTTTTTTTCTCTGATGTTTAAATAGATGGAGGGCAGCTGTGTGTTAATATCAGCTACGATACGCTGTATTGTTTCCCACTAAAACCTTGTTCAACAGCCCAAAAATTCAGACGGCTGTATGCTAACCTTAAAGCCCACCAGAAAAGCATACAGAATTAAGTTTCCCCTTCTGCGTTCTTTCCTTTTACAAGGAAATAAATATATAAGCCTGATTTAAACAACACCAAACTGGAAACGCAATGCAATTTATATACATCAAATGCCAAAAATGGCCATCTCATATGGTATTTTTATATCGAGTGTTAAATGTGAAACAAATACGGTGGATGAAAAAAATTTACGAAAAACCTTTATGAAACACAGTACACAGATTACTATCAAATTCCTATTCAAATGATCATTGTTATAACTTTTTTAAGAATAATATATCAACAAAACTACGCCTGAACCAAATGAAATCAAACATATATCAAACGATATATAAAATCCACTGAACACTAAAATCCCCTCACACAATCACACTAACTCAAAGACTAAGAGCACTCTGGTTTAACATATCTACCAGACAGACAACTCATATAATACCTCACCATTTGCTTTGCAGTTTGCAGCAAACTCCTTCAAAATTCAAAATAAGTCCAAGTCTGAAATTTTGTTTTAACAAACTAAAAGAATAGTAAATTAGTGTGTCTTTACTAGTCTTAAAATCCTAATCCACATACGAAGATTTGTAGTAACAATCCCAGCTGAATTGGGTTTTGCAGTGGTACACTAATACTCTAAACATTTCGCTTCGAAAAATGCACATTGCACACAGATGCAGCATAACCCATCACACAAAAACAACCACAAATTTCAAATCTCGAACTGACCCAGATGACCAAATGCGAAAATATAAATAACCCCCTTTTGCCCACAGAATTTGATAATTGGGTCCACGAGTTAAAGACGGATGCAAGGGTACCTTCGGTAGCTGAAAGCAGGAGGCCGCCCAAAGAAGCCGACGAAAAGAGTCTGGAAATGGGGGTTCGATAGCCAAGTCGTCGCCAAATACCTGCAAATTAATCGAATCATTAGTTAATTGAACAACAAAATCAAAAATTTAATAGTTGGTTAATCAGAAAGTATTGAATTGGGACCTGGAATGGAGAATCCGGCACTTGGAAACGACGTCTTGGTAGATGTGGGAGGAGGGGTTGAAGGTTAAGGAGACGGCGGAGCCTCTGAAGGCGGTGAAAAGGTCCTGGAAGAAATGGAATTCAAGGAAGTGGTATAGAAATGCAGAGGAAATCGCGAGGGAAGCGAAGAGGTAATGCCAAACGGGAATAAGAGAGAGGTCGTTGAGCAGAAGAATGTAGGGGTTGCTGGAATAGGAATCCTGACGGAGGAGGAGCTCCCTGCAACTGCAATCCATCGTCTCCTATGATTTCTGGTTTCTGGTAATGAAAGTTGATTTTCTTTCGACTTATAAAATGGCGGGGACAGGTGAAATTTTCAGCTGCCCTTCGGAATTGGACCCACGCTGACGGATACTAGCCGTTGATGAATGGGATGAGAAAGGATCCTCTCCGGATTCTTTTGTGAGAATTTGCGGATTCTTCAATCACATCTATTTATCATACATGATAAAAATTGACCGCACAATGTACGATGAATGAATGTGATTGAAAGATTCTCGAATCCTCACAAAGAGAGTCCGACGAGAATCATTCTGGGAATGGGATTGCCATTCAATAGTCTCTGGAAAATATAAGAGGGTGGAAGTGGGAACATGGACTCGTAGATTACATCAAAGTTATGATTCCAGTCTACTAGTATTTTTCAAGTATTTATCAAATGTAGCCAAATATTAGCTTCTAATTTCAAAAATGTCAGTTTTTATAAAAACTTTCAAATATATCCAAAATATCATTTAAATAGATACAAATACCCTTAATTCATACAAATAACTAGTTGTTAATTAAAAGATTCTTGTGTCATAATCAAGTGGTGCTTTCACTAATTTTTCTAATATGCACCCGAAGATTTTCTATTCGCTAAACCTTAAAATATGCTTTTTGCACTTTCTAACAACATAACAAATCTCTCGATTCACTACCACAGCCAATGATAATCTTCAAAACAGAATTCAGACAAGGACAACACCCTTAATAGTGCAAAGGTGGAAAATTAAATACGAAGCACATATAATCCAAAAGAAAATTGAGATAAATAATGTTACAAAAATTGACAGTTCATTCTTCCATAAATATTCAATCAAATGAAGAAACTACAAGAGCAAAGAGAAGACGTAGAAGAGGAAAAGTTCAAAAAACTAACCATCTACACTCATCTTCGTTTAGGAATGCACAATTCTTCACCAATAGTCGATGCCTTTACTAGGTCTCCTCCAATTTTAAGGTTTAGCTATGATAACTCTTCATCTAATAAGGTTTTGGTTTTTTAATTTATTAGGTTTAAAGCTTAAGGGTATTTATGTCTATTTAAGTGATATTTTACATATATTTGAAAGTTTTTATAAAAACTGACATTTTTGAAATCAAGGGCTAATATTTGATTATATTTGATAAATACTTGTATTTTTCTTTACTTGTAAATAGCAGGTCTAATCTTCCATATTATTGTTAATTTTATTATGAGACTAAACCAATAAATAATATGGTTTGTTTGAAAAAAAAAAAAAAAAAGCAAAGTTATGAATTAAATCGAACCGTAGGTTAAATCGAAAGTTATAAATTGACCATCTAGGGAAGGTTCGATTTGATTAAAAAAAATTGCGTGGAGCCATAATTAATTTATAAAATTTTGAGGGTGTCACCTAGATTTTGACGAGAATATATTTATTTATTGGTGAGGCTCACACTCATTCTAATGGTTCAACCAACGAAGAAACATACAATTTTTCATGCTTCTTTGCCTATACTATGGCAATGACATATTGACAAGGGATTTAAATGTAAAACTAATAACTAGTTTTTACCTTCCTAATTAGGAACATTTCTTTATTCAAGAAACACAATCAAATTTGTCAAGGATCTCTAAAATAATTCATATATTATTATTTATTTAATAATATCTCTAAGAATTATTCTCTATCATACTTAAGATATTTCAACATCTTAAAATTCTTTTCTATTGCATCCAACTAATAACACAGTCTAGCCAATTAGACCGACACATAGCATGAAAACTCTAAACATGTGGCTCCTACACTCTATAACTATCTCAATCTACACATTTTTCAAGTAAGTTAATTCTACGAAATTCAATCCTAAATCACTCATCATTTCCGTAGAATTTCTTACTCAACCATCAACAGTTGGATCTAGCAACTCTCATCAGAAATTGATAACATCACATATTCATGAAAATGATGTATATAATACGATTACACCGTCATATATCATTATGTTAATCAAATTAAAATATTTAGACAATTATTTGCCCGGTACACCACGGTCGCAACGCCCAGGCGCCCAGGCGCCCGCACCACCACAGCCGTAACGTTTTTTTTTTTTTTCCCGAATGCTAACCGTAACGTTTTATTCTTTCGCATAACAACGACCACTAACAGCCACACCCAAACCCGCACCGCTCCAACGTCTACCAACAGCGGGCCCCGTAGAACCTCCGTCTTCTTCTCCGGCTGCCAAAGCGCAGCTTCTTCGCGCCTCCTCCACCGTATTACAGCTGTAGTGGTGTGATTCTCCGGAATCAAAATTATCAACATAAACTCATCAAACACTTCCAAAACACAATAATCAAACTTTGGATTTGATAGCTTAGCTTTGTCAGGGTTGTTGGCGGCGTCTCTTTTCATCTCGATCGTACTTCTTCTTCTTCTTCTTCTTATTTTCTAATTATATGTTGTTCTTCCTCTGCAAATATTTAGTTTCCTTCTTTTAATTATACAGTTGTTATGCTCTGAATTTCTGACTTTTAGCTGCTTTGCATTAGGGTTTGGGATATAGGAAATTAGGACTGAGGAATTTAGGAAATTAGGGATTCAGATTTCAGCTTATGTTTCTCAAATTCAGTTTTCAAGTTATGGGCTGGAGAGCTTTTCTTTTTGTTGTGCTCTGAAACTTCAGTTTGGTCCAAATTGTGTTAAGTTTTGAGAGGTTTGTGTAAAATTTAGGGAATGCCATAAAAAACAAACTCTGCAATTTTTGGTACTTTCCTCTTAAGTGGATTTGGCTTAAATGTTCAGCTCACCCCAATTTCAAATTATGTCTTTGTGTGCAGCCGCGTAATTCATGATGTTCCTCGTATAGGGTTTAGTAGCTCTTATAACAAACAGATGGTTTTCATGATTCCTGCTTAATTTTAAAATGAAACTAATTGAAACCTGGAAAATTTAACTAATACATTGGAGAAAAAAAAAATTTGTTACAGAAAAACCCTTGAGCATGAAAATAGTGTCCGAAGAGGCTAATATGCAAGAACGGATAGACTTGATTATGTGAGTGCTTAAATTGCTTCTTTTATAGTTTCTAGCTCTACATGAACTATTGTCAAATTGAGCTGTGTGATGTTTGATCAAGATAAGGTGGGAAATGGCAACTATTTCTGTGAATAAATGGCCGATAAATTTCGGTTGGATTGAAATTTGGTGAATTTCTTGGATTAGTTATTAGAATTTCAGTCAATGAATTTAAAAATCTGTTTTTGCTTCAGATATATTTCAACAGTGGGAACATAAATCTAATTGTGAGTCTTCTGCATAATTGGGAAGATGTCAACTGCACGGCCTTTAAAGAAATTGGTGTCCTGCATTATCCTTGATTTGGATGGTACACTACTGAACACAGGTCTGTGCCCTTAAGAGAATTTTCAGTATTACTTTAACGTCAGTTTAGTGTGGTATGTGATAAGGGCCTGATGCTTCTTTTGGCTTTTCTGTGTTGGATCAATTTTGATTCTTGCACGTAGCTATTTTCTTTCTACTGGTGTTGGTGACTCTTTTTATTTTCATTGTTTTAACTAATCACAGATGGTATTGTAAGTGAAGTTTTGAAAGTTTATTTGGGTAAGTATGGAAAGCAGTGGGATGGGCGGGAAGTTCAAAAAATAGCTGGAAAAACACCATTTGAAGCTGCAAGTGCTGTTGTGGAAGATTATGGGTTATCGTGTACAACGAATGAATTACTTTCAGAGATTACCCCATTGTTCTCCAATCAGTAATTTACTACTATACTTGTTCTTATGTCTGTTTAGAAAGACTTTTTGTTGCTAGTACCAAGTTATTTTGTTTTGCCTGTTATGTGTTGGAAAACTGTTGATTGGATTTTGACAATTGTCACTATAGGTGGTGCAACATTAAAGCGCTTCCAGGTTCCAATCGGCTAATTAAACATTTGAGTGGTCATAGAGTGCCAATGGCATTGGCTTCAAACTCTCCAAAGGAAAACATTGAAACCAAACTTTCTTTTCATCAGGGTATACTCCTGTTCTTGAAAAGCATGCAGTGTTTGCTTATGTCTTACATGGTTAATTGTCTAGTATCAGATTTATCCATGATATTCTGAGTTAGTCTTATCGTACCAAACAAGTACTTATTTGCTTATTGTTTTCATATGCAGGCTGGAAGGAATCTTTTTCAGTCGTCATTGGTGTTGATGAAGTAGGTTCTGGGAAGCCATCTCCTGAAATGTGAGATGCAAAAATTTGTGCATATTGACTTGAGTGTTTTCTATCATGGATGAGATATATAGTGTTCTAAAACTGTAAATATTTGTTTTGCATGCAGATTCCTTGAAGCTGCTAAAAGGCTCAATGTTGAACCTTCCAGCTGCCTTGTCATTGAAGATTCTCTGTACGTATACCTACTCTGGTTCTTTTACTACAGTTAAAACAACAAATGTGGCAGGGAACATTTTTCTTTGGAGTGTTATAGTTTTCATCATGTTCTCTTTAACTAACCTTGTTTACATTACATCTAAAACTTCTTGATAGAGTAGTGAACCTGAATGAAACCTTTATTTTTGCCACTTTTATTTTATTCTATATACAAATACTTATTTCAAAAAAGTTATATGTAGACTAAATTTGATAAGGCTTGCGCATGCTGTACTCGAATATAAATCATATTGCTTTTCTCGCTCATATATAAACTATTTATCCGTACTTTTGTTAACGGACTTGAAAATGTAAATTGTGGCTCTTTCACATTGATAAATCCAATAATTAATTTGAATACTAGGTTAATGAATTAATTAAACCCACTTTATGGATACCATTTATTCTCTCCCAAATTCTAGTTTTTTGTCTTCTTAATGTGTGTGTCACTCTTCCATCACAATGCACATGACATGCACATGTGTGCAGTGTTTCTAGCGAAAATTAGTAATTTCAGTTGTAGATGGCAAATTGCTTTGATGTTCTCTCCTTCATTAACATTCTTCCTTTGATAATTACAATTTAGATGCTAAATTTCCTCCTTATGATGTGTTTATTGTCTTCAAACTGATGTCAGTTTCCTTTGAGTTTCCTCCTTGAACATTTTCGTATTTGGGTTTTGTCAGACCGGGTGTTAGAGCTGGAAAGGCTGCTGGAATGGAGGTGGTCGCTGTACCCTCCATCCCAAAGCAGTCCAATCTCTATACATCAGCGGATGAGGTGATAAACTCTCTACTTGATTTGCGACCTGAATTGTGGGGCCTACCTCCTTTCCAAGACTGTAAATCCCAGTATCTGTGTCTCTGTTCAACTGTGGAGAGTTTCTGCTGCAGAAGTCATTTTCATTTTATTTAATTTGTTGTTGCAGGGATAAAAGATACTTTACCAATAGAACCTTGGCATATTGGTGGTCCAGTTGTTAAGGGATTTGGTCGGGGCTCAAAAGTACTCGGGATCCCTACAGGTGTGTTAGAGTGTAGCTTTTACTGTCAGCCTGTCCGGTTACAATCTTCTACTACTTGTCTTAAGGATGAATTAGCTATAACTGGTGTTCTTATTTAGAGACGACATATACCAGTTAGTTGTATTTCATAAGTAGCACATTTTTTGTGATAAAAATAGGTAGCTAATATTTTGAATGCTTCTGATATAACTGCTGTTCTCTCCCTGTTATGCTCAATTAAATTGCCCCCTTTCCTCATTTTGTATCCTTATTAGTGCACTGCATCTTTTCTCCAGCAAATTTATCCACAGAAGGATATGCATCTCTTCTTTCCGAACATCCCTCGGGAGTATATTTTGGTTGGGCTGGATTATCAACACGGGGTGTCTTCAAAATGGTCATGAGTATTGGTTCGAATCCTTATTTCAACAACACGGAAAAGACTATAGTGAGTCTTCCAAGACACTTACGGTTGCCTTTGCAAGTATTTTTCTTCTTGGCTTGTTTTCTTAATTTAGCTTGTAATGCAGGAGCCATGGCTGCTTCATGACTTCGATGAGGATTTTTATGGGGAAGAACTGCATCTTATTATAGTTGGCTACATACGGCCTGAGGTATTTACTCTAACTTGTCCATTTTCTTGTGGAAGGTGTCAAATGGTCGTTCCTGTCCTGACATCTATCCTTTGTTTTAATTTTCGGGTATGGACTGAAACAGGCGAATTTCTCATCGCTTGAGAGCTTGATAGAAAGGATTCATGAGGACGGGCGAATTGCGGAGGAAGCTCTTGAACTTCCATTGTACTCAAAGTACAAGGACGACTCGTATCTCAAAATTTCTACCTGAGGATGTTACTGCCTTACTCGAAGCGCGCTTTCTCTACACATGATGGGCTAAAACAATAATTGAAATTGTACACTCACTATTGAGGAAATTTTATGTCCGTCTCATGAATGTAATATGAATACACACATATTAGTCACAATCAGTGCTTAAAATATAGTTATTATTAGAAATATCAATGGATATATTGATATTGATATCAGCTACCTTTGATGGAAATGATGAAATTTGCTCAAAAACGTGAAAATTAAAATAAATGATATTTATCTGATGTAAGAAATTTGCATAAATATATCGATTTTAGTTGAAATTTAGGAGTTTTTTCGATATGGATGAAATATAGACTTCATCCCTCATTACATCTCTCTCTTATGATTGGTTTACCCATTTATGTCTTTCTTTTGTGATTTTTCTCTAATGCACAACACTAAAAACACATCGTATATACACATTGAACAAGAACCGTCACGCTAAAATGTACGGACAAGATAAAGACTAAAAAATATGAAGGGCAAAAAGAAGTGTGATATCATTGGCTCCTATATAGTCAACCCGTACTCCTCTCATGAAAAAATGCACGAGATAAAAAACATTATATATGGAGAAGCGGCATGATTATTTTTCGTGAGCGCTAATAAAAAGAATCGAAACAATAATGAAAACTCAAATGCTCTTCCTCATTATACAAAGCTAAAGATTTAGGCGTTCAACCTTGACGTCTTTTATCACAAACATAAAACCTTGACGGAAATAAATACAAGAAAAGAAGAAAAACTGCGACTAAATATATCCTGCTTACGCTTGGATGCATACAGTATCGATTTTTTTTCTTAAGAAGTTAAGAGGTAGGGCAAGCAAATCAATGGAAGGCAACAACAGGAGCTCTTGCATTTTTGTTCGACGGAAGATCGGGTGGCGGAGACGGTAGCATAAAGAGAGCCAACATTCCACTTGCGACGGCAGCAACCGCGCCGGCAACAAACGCCGGTAAATTACCACCTCCAAACAAATCATCCCACGGTCCACTTACGACGGACACAAACATCTGCAAGTTCAATAATTTAGTAATTAACTATGTAGTTAATTTGAATTAAAATTTAAGATAACATGTATTTTTCCAAGGAAATTTTACTAAAGAGATGAAATTAGGGAAGCATTACGTACCTGTGGTACGACAATTGCAAGATTTAGGACTCCCAAAGAAAGCCCTGTTTTAATTAGGAGAATTCAGAAAATATTAATCACCAAAACATAATGGTTTATGTCAGGTTTTGGAAAATTAGTATAATTAATACGTGTAAAAATTAAGTTAAATAACCTTGGCCTGCACCAGAATTGCTGGAAAATATGGAAGCCAGAGCAAAGGGAATACTGTACGTCACCTGTGTAAAGATAAAAAAAAAAAAAAAACAAGATTAGGTGGTGGGCAAAATTCCAACATGATGCTCTCCGGATCCTTTTGGTGAGGATCATGGAGATCCGTAAATCATGTAAGTTTATCGTATATCGTGCATTCAATTTTTATTAAGTACTGTTTGTGTTTAATTTTAAATAAAACTATTTAAAATAATTTCTAACCACACAATGTACGACGAACAGACACGATTCATGAACCATTAGAATCCTTACAAAAAAGAATCCGAACTCGTTAAAATTAGCAAGGGTCAATGAATATTCCTCAACTTAATTGTCACATCACATATATACAAACGCATCACATATGAATGGATTTATTTAATTGTAAAAATGGATTGCATCTAACTTTCACTTTGCCTTCAACTCGGTAAATGCTTGAGAATTATGAAAGGTTGTTTTGTTTAATTTAATTTTGAGAATGGGGAAAGTTGTTGATTAAATGGAGAGATTCAGGGTGTTCAAAACATGAATATGTCGATATATAAGTGAAAGTGAAGGGATAATTGTGAAAAAGAAAAAAAAATGTTTATCAACTTACGGAATAATATATGACGTACTGTCTCGTGTTTTGAATATGTTAAAAAAATCTTCGATGTAAAGGAGTAGAATAACATGGGATGTGGGCCTTGACAAAAGAAAAACATGGGAATTGTACCGACAAATACAAAATAGGAAAAGTGAGCTATTATTATTGATGAAAAGGATGGCATCGAAAAGAACAAGGAAAACAAGTAGTAGATGCTGCCGGAGAAGAATAATTTGTATGTCATGTGACGTGAAGTGAATTAAACACTCTTTCATGTTTTTATTTTATAGATCTATTTTAACGATGTATTTGTGTTATACAAGTCGTTTTCATATTAGCGGTAAAAAGAATATTCAAGCACATAATTAATCAATCCCCTTAAATTATGAAAAATTAATTTGTAAAATAAAACCGCAATTGAGGAGTTGTTCAAAGAAGCAAAATAGTTTTCCTTATCCTAGTAAATGTTCCTAGTAAATGCATGGTGAAACCTTTTCTGCATGCACTAAAAGACTTCGGATAAAAACAAACAAAAACACCTTCTGGATAACGATAACCCCATGGTTCTTGAAAAACAAGGCAAAATATGTGACCACCAAAAATTAAAAGGTAAAACAATGAAACTAATTAGTCCGCAAGCTCCCAAGTGAAAATCTGTTCTTTTTTTTTTTTTTTTTTGGTCGAAAGAAAATCTGTTCTAATTAATAAATAATTATTTGGTATCAGATATCTTTTTTTCCTTTTGTGTAAGAAATCGGTTGTGAAATTAATTAAGAAATAATAAAACGTGTCAAAAAGATTTGCAGACTAACCGCTAGAGGAATGCCAAGCACGGCGAACAGAGACAATGCGCCCGCCTTGATACCGGCAGGTGGCGGAGGCGGCTCAACTCCGATGTGGCCGTGTCGGCTGGCTTCAGCCAATTTAGTGATTAAAACAGTCAAGGCCATGCAGACGGCGAGCAAGAAGTTGACAATAGCCCACAATCTCTTGACCCCGCCAACCCAACGGCCGAGATGCTCGACCCCGAGAGACATGAACCCCAAAACGACAGAGTTTAGCAAGAGGCCGAGCGAACCGGCTCTCACCCCCAAATCGTACAGTCGCCCTTTACCGACCTGGCCGCCGTACACTTCCTTTCCCATCCAGTCAGTGTCGAACAGCAAGAACGGGAACCACGCAATCCAGTTCAGACACGTCACCAGAAGCAACACCAGCATTGGCCTCTGCAACTCCTTGAATGCCCCAATCATTTGACCAAAAAAGGGCACCTTTCGAGCTGTCGTTGACTCCTCCTCCGGCTCGTCTGGAGCGACGTCGGCGGGGGTTTCCTTGACGATGGTGAGGGCCAATACGGTGAGGGTGATGAGGAGGGCGATGGAGAGGAAGAAGCAGCTCTTGAGATTGGAGCAGTAGATGTCGCAGGCTTTGGTCTTGGTAAAGGGGAACATTTTGTGGAGGTTGTTGTAGGCCCCGGCGGCGTAACCGAGGATGTTTCCGACAGCCATGAAGAAGGCGAACAGCGCGTTGGAAGTCCGCATTCTCTTCGGGTCGGATCCCGAGATGTCGGCGAGGAGGGCCCTGCATGGCCCTTGCAGCGTGTTGTTGGCGACGTCGAGGATCCAGAAACCGACCACGAAGACGGAGACGGCACGGGGCTTGGTGGCCTTCTCAAGGGAGTCTCCAGTGAGGTGTCCAAGATCAGCAGCGTAGCCAATGAGGAAGACGGCGACGGCGACGAGGGCGGAGCCAGCAGCGATGAAGGGGCGACGGCGTCCAAAGCGGGAAGTGCAACGGTCGCTGTGATAGCCGACGATGGGCTGGACGAGCAAGCCAGAGATGGGGCCGCAAAGCCAGATGAAGGCGGCCCAGGTGTGGGGGACGCCGAGGAGCTGGACGTAGGGAGTGAGGAGGGAGAGTTGTAGGGCCCATCCAAATTGGACTCCGGCGGCAATGGAGGCGACGAGGATGATTTTTTTCAGCGGGCTTGCCTGCTGCTCCTGCGCGGCGTGAGGATTCTTGTTGGCGTTTTCAACTTCCATGGCTGGATGGCAGGACACACGCTTTCTGTCTTCGTCACTTTCTTTCTCTCTTTTTCTATGTCGATGTCGCTCTGTTGGGGAAACGGATAACTAATCCTTCGAGAGAGAGAGAGAGAGAGAGAGAGAGAGAGAGAGAAAGAGAGAGAGAGTTATTATGAGGAGAGTTGTGATGACTTATCTGGAATTTATAGAGGTGGTGATGGCGGTGTTTGCATGGAGGAGGAGGAGGCAACTGGTGAAATTAAGATGGAGTTGGGTTATCCGTTTGGAGTTGGGTTTATCCGTTTGGAGTTGAATGCTATTGAGTCAGTCAGTCTCTCCCTCTCTCTGAGTCTTTTAAAAATTTCAAAAGAAAAAAAAAACCGACAAGACTTGGTTTTGGTGTCAGCAAGTCTGCAAGTCAAACCCTCATTCAATTATTTCTTCTTTTTTTTATTTTCTTTCATTAATATATTTCTTTTTGAGAAGCGTACAATATTCATTTATGGAAGAGATTTTTTAATCTAATCGTCACACGATGGTACATCACGTGTCGTTATATAAATGATGGAATATATATGTTAAAAAGTTAATAACTTAGAAAATAAAATTTTTCTCAACTTACATAAAAACACATGATATACCACTCGTGTTCCGGTCACAACTAAAAATTTCCACATTTATGGATAAAAGAACGTACAAGAGAACACGGTGTGATTCGTTACAAAATTGGCACTTATGTGTGTTAAAAAGTTAATAACTTAAAAAATAAAATTTTCCACCACTTATATAAAAACACATGGTATATCACTTGTGTTCCGGTCATAACCAAAAATTTCCACATTTATGGATAAAAGAACGTACAAGAGAATGCGGTGCGATTCGTTACAAAATTGGCACTTAGCTTTTTCTTTTTGTAAATTATAAATCTTAAGTTCGATTTTTCTGTTATTTAGTATTATAATTTAGTGGTATATTTTTTTACTTGTAAGTGAGAGGTCTTAGGTTTAGTTTTTGCCAAAGACGAATTTGAACTACATTATTGCGAGCCCATTGTAAAGCTAAACCCCTTATCCTCCTTTTTAGAGTAGATAATATTGTTTGTTCAAACAAAAAAAAAGTTCGATTGTCCTTAATAGCAAGTTTGATGCTAAATTATTTTTATAAAATTGTGTGACTTAGTCCAGTCTCTCGCATCTTCTTTAGTATAAATAATATCATTGTATTCAAAATATATACAACATAAAATGTTATGCTATCCTCTGTTAAAACATTAGAGATCACATTGGGTGGTTCTTCAAACCAAAAACAAAATACACCAAAATATATAACGCCATAGAAGAAAAGTCATTTTTCTTTGGATATTTTTCTAAATCTGATATCCAACAATTAAATGTCTTTCATGATAATTCAACCCGTTTAATGTTCAGTCACTTGGTACTACAATCCAATGATATTTATCTTCACTAGTACATAAGAGGTCTTAGGTTTGATTCTCGCCACATGTGAATTTAAACTACATTATTGCTAGTCCATTGTGAGGCTTAGCTCACTCCCCACCCCTTTAGTGAAGATAATATCTTTTGTTTAGAAAAAGAAAAAAAAAACCCGTTTAATGTTAATTACAAATGTACACATTAAACATAATTTTTGCATCAAATAAAAGGATCAAATTAAATTTATTTTTAAATTATTTTTTATTAGGGGTAAGGAGATAAGTTCCAAACAATAATAGGAGAGGGGAAGTTTCGAAGCCAGACGTATGGATAAAAACCCAACATCTTATCCACTAAAAAATTGAACTATGTGCCAAATTAACTTCTTATTTCATGTTAAATTGTGTCATTCTCATGTTAAGCCACTTGACCAAAAACACAAACTATTTAATAATCATAACACGAACACAAACTATTTAATGGCAGTGCTAAAAATAGATTCAAGAACAACATTTTTGGTAAATTAATTTAAAAAGTCATGAGTACTTCTAATAAAGTGATATATTATTAAACAATAATACAATGCAATGTGACATTTCACAATCGTCTCACAACTCTTTACTCGTAAATGAAATCAGTTAATAAAATTAAAAAATACAATATGGCTTTGCAATTGTCACGTAACACATGTACAAAAAAGAAAAAGCTGAAAACTTAATACAAAATTTCATATTTTTGAAAAATTTATAAAAATAAATAAATAAATACCAAAAATGCTAATCCAATGCAAATCAAGTTCTATATATATATATAACGTCGCACAGCAAAACTACCATAACTTGGAAATATCACATTCATAATTACGTATCAATTATATATTCTTCTTCAGAACAATTATATAAATTTTCTGGCATGCCGAAAGGAAAAAAAAAAAAGAAAAGAAAAGAAAAAGCAGTTAGGTATATATGCTGAACTGCTGAGCTGAGCTGAGCTGAGCATGCATTGTGGTCAATGGAGGAATGCTCGTGAGGGACACGGGGGTGGTGGTGAAATTCCTTTGACCTTGACGTGCCACGTTATCCATATCATTTGTGAGCGACTAAAGCTCCCGAACCCCAAAAATTGCTGCGAAAACAATTAAAAATCCGCAGAGATCTGTAAGTAACGTTGGAAGAGGTGACCCGCTTGACTTGAATTGATGTTACCCTCCTCATTGGATCATCATATTGCATTGATTGATTTATGACTCGAACATTTGGTTGTGTGAGTGTGCATAGAGTAATGCTTGAAAGACTTAATTTATAGATAAAATTTATAAATTAAATGATATATATCACTTATAGAAAATGAGTACGTTTATCAATATTTAAGTAATAATTCAATCAGTAACTTATATTTCTTTAGTTTACAAAAATTGTCTACAAATTTAGTCTCTCTATCATTACTTATATATATAATTGCTTTGGAAGATGTGATACTACTTATTTCTGGGGACCAAGCTCATATCATATCCATTAATTTGTTGAAACCATGCATGCATATTCCTTTACTTCAAGGACATAAATTAGAGTTCAGATTTTCTTTTTTCTATTTTGTTTCTTTCACTCAAGGTATGTCATTAGTGAAAGAAACATTTAGGCCAACGGAGGAAAAAATGAATCTCAAAAAGTTAGATATAAGAGGGATTAGAATGCAGTGCATGAGCATTAATTACAAAGACATATGAGTGAAATTTGTAAAATACTACTTGGTAGGAGTTATTTGTAATGATCATGTCATTTATTTCTTATCTGTCCTATCTAATGTTTTGTAGTGCATATTTTTCTTAATTTAATTTGCATAAACATCTTGAAATTTAAAAGTCGCTCACACAAACAAAAGTTTTTTAAATTCTTAAAATATTACAAAAAACTTATGGAGCTCACAATTATCATCGTTGTTGTTGTTACTAGGAAGTATCCATAAGACAAGAAGAAAAAAAAAATTAAAGTATTATTTCTATTTTATTGAACATTAGCTTCCTACTGGAAAATAACCCATTTGACTTTATTCAAGAAGAGAGAGAGAAAAAAAGAAAAACAAATTAACCTCATTTTTGTCGATAAAGAAATCATTCTCCTCCAACAAATTAACAAGAAGGAAAGAGGAGAAATTATTCTGCTGACTATTATATATATTATAGTACGTCGTACGTAGTGCCATACCTTGGTTTCCCTTTGTCGATCTGTTTATATTCCGAGCCCATGCACAAAGGGAGAAGTACGTACCTGGCATGGAATGTATTCTTTGCCGGCAAATGAGCAGAAGCATGCCAGCATGTATTCACGTCGGCGAAAAACCGAAAACTAAAAAGAACATATTGAACCGAAAGCTATTGGTTCGGTTCCAGTTTCAGTAGCTTTCAAATCAAACTAAACCGAACCGAATCGAATAATCTGTCCTTTTCATACACCCACCAAATTGTTGTCGTTTTATGGTATGATATGACCTGAACGCTTCACCCTCCTCTCCTCAATTTGTCGCGTCTTCATTTTTCAAAGGACTAATCAATTGGTGATTAAAACATACAAACTTCGATTCTCTTAGTAAGCCAAGCACGGACGTGCCAATACAGTAACACACAGGGGCTGATCAACAGTGGGTCAGTTGACCCCGTGGTCGCTAGAAAATTAGCTGGGAAGTCTCTCGAATCTCGATTGACCCTGTGATCATCTGGACAGCGGGCATTTTGTGCACACTACGTGTTTGATAAAATGCTCTATCCAAAACTAGGCGGCAACAGGAGTTGTGCAGCGCCCAGTGCCGCAAGGTTTTTTTTTTAACACCTGGCCAAAACGACACCGTTTTGATCCAAATTAAAATAACCAAAATTCAAAAAACACGACAAAGGCGTAGAATAGAAAAATCAGAAATGAAAGTAGTCACACAACTTTGTCCTCTCCTCTGTGTCCATAAAATAACTCAAATGCTGGACCCAAAAAAACCTTTCTCTACGCGAAAACCTTCTGACAACCTTAAATCCTAACTCCTTCATCAACACTTATTCAGTTCGATTGAACATCACTCGTTGACAACTAGCAAATACTCAGTTCAAGTGAACATCATTAGAGTTGTATAACTAATCGGTCTAGAAGTACATTCAGTTTGGTTAAACAACACTACTTCTAGTTCTATTGATTCTCTATCCAAGTCTTAGTCAGTGAAGTGCTTTCAATTCTTTCGTCGAAAGGATTCACTTCATTAGTTTTCCCAACAAAGTGAAGTGTTCTATGATCAATTACTCACAAGTACATTTTAGAGTTCGGCACCACCACCACATCTATTTTACTCACTCGATCAATCTCGGTTGCGAGTTGGCACATCCGCATTCACAAGAAGGACGTAGTTAGCTCAATATTTGCTCGACATGGGCGTTGCATAGGTCTTGTAATTTTTAGGGTCAACAGTTCTCCTCTCCACCTTCAACCAAGGTGGCGCCACTCTGTCCTCGCCTCTCTCTCCCCATCTGAGCAAGTTGTAAGTTGAAAGAAAGTAAGGATTTGCAATTTTTTCATAACCTAATTAGCGTTTAACAAGTTTCGTTTTGAGTTCGAATTTTATAATATAACTAGAGTTTGTAAATTGTAACAAGGGTCAAGGGGTCAATTCCATGATCCATAAT